GAGAAAGAAAGAAAGAAAGAAAGAAAGAAAGAAAGAAAGAAAGAAAGAAAGAAAGAAAGAAAGAAAGAAAGAAAGTTAGGACTGAGAATATGAGAATCACATTCTGTTTGTACTTTAAGGTCAAGTTTCTAGTCCCCCATGTCTTTGCAAACCGAGACCACCTTGGCAAAAACTTGGTGGTCAGTTAAAAAAAAAGCCAGGTTGTTTTGTAATTTTTAATTATAAGCTACCGAGAGTCACGGAGTGGGGTGGTGTATAAACTGGATAGATAGATGATACATGGATAGATAGATAGATAGATAGATAGATAGATAGATAGATAGATAGATAGATAGATATCTGTCCACCTGGGAAAGCTGAACTAATTTTTCTTGTATGCAAGAACCAGAGGAGGAGAAGACACTCTGCTGGTGCTCAGAGGCGCCCTTCCCATCTCAGAGCGTCGAAAGAGGAATTGGAAAGGGAAGCGGCTGTTACCTTTATGTAAGTCTGCACTGATCGGGACAGGACGATCTCAAAGCCATAGGACTCGCTTCCAATCGTCGCTCGGGCTGAAGTGAGGAGATGATTGTATTCGGCAGGCTTTCGGTACAACGAAGGGTTAAAACGTCTTGGGCTGTTTCCTAAAAGAAAGGTTGAAATGGGGGAAGCCGACATGTTGGTGGGGAAAGAACTGGGCATGCCACCTCGTGGTGAATTCAAAGTGGAGCCTTGGATAAATTCAGTAGGGAGGGACAATAAACCAGGATTTCCATCTTTGCTTGCAAGCAGAGCATCCCAATTTTAATCTCAGGCTTTGTTGGATATCCAAGGGTGGAGCGCTGTCGAAAAACCTGGAAAACTGGCCTTTATTTGTTCCTCTTGGGATCAAGCCTTTCGCTAAACCCATGAGGACTAGAATCTTTTGAGGCAGACGGAATTGCTAAGGGAAGGCGCACGAGCTTTGTATAAAACCCATTGCAGGTCAGCTCCTTGCAACTTCTTTAAAAGGCCCCAGGCTCAAACCTTGGAGCCCTGCCAAACATCAGGATCAGCCACTTTAAGATGTGTGGACTTCAACTCCCAGAATTCCCCAGCCAGCATGGCTGGCTAGGGTGGGAGGGGGGCGTGGTGGGGAAGAGTGG